AGGGGAGGTGCGGGTCATGGTGGGAGGTGTGGGAAGGGGCAGTCCTTTGGCCTGTAGCTAAGGCCAGTGGGGCTGGGGGCCTCCTCAGAGACAGGAGAACCACAGGTCTGCCCTTGGTTGGGGAAGGAGGACAGGAGGGGGCCAGGCTGGCTCTGGCTTGGGGGGAGGGTGGGCAAGGGGGAAACCTCGAACCTGTCCCTCATCTCTACTTTGGGTGAACAGCTCCCTGGGCGCTGTCACAGGAGTCACATGGCCCTGGCCCTATTCTGGATGCTGCGGGGGGTGGGGGGACTCCAGTCCAAGGGCTCTGCCGGCGCCAGTTCCTCCCCCCTCCTCCCACCTCATGCCCCCAGGTCAGCCCCAAAGGCCTGGCTGCAGGCCTGTCCACTTCTGCAGGAAACATTAAGTCCCTGAAACAGATCTCGCTGAGCTCCACTTCCGCATGGCCCCCCACTGCAGGCCAAGGTCGCCAGCAGGGTGGACAGCACTGGGAGATGGCAGGCAACCTGGTGCCAAGTGGATAAGACCACTGGGGCAGGGCCGGGAGGTCCCTAGGAGAGCCGGCGCAGGCAGGTCCCTGTGCTCACCCCACATGCCCTGGATGCCACCTCCCACCACACTCCTGGGTGTACACAGGTCGGGTACAGGCCCGTACAGTCTCAGTGTCCAAGTAATAGCCAACACTCGGGTCGCCTTCACTCATGCCAGGCACTGGCTTAAGCACATTACAGGAATTAATTTAATCCTTCCAATATTCCTATGAGGTGAGTACTCGTATTATCCCATTTTACAGATGGGGCAGTTGAGGTCCAGAGAGGTTAAGTGCCCTGGATCACACATCTGTGACTGGCAGAGCTGGTATTTGAACCCAGGTTGCTCAGCTCCACAGCCCCCGCTGTTGCACATGGCGCTGGGTGGTTCCGTGGTACCCCCCACCCAGAATAGACACAACGCAAATAGACGGTGTACACCCACTGTGCCACACCACCCACTCTCCGCCCCTCCAATTGGCTGCGGCTGCCCTCAGCCCTGCACATGAGAGGGGGTGGCAGGGGACCCAGTGACAGATTCCCTCCTGGGGATCCCCCAGTTCTTCTACCCCTCACCCCCACCCCCACTCCTGGGATGCTCGGGAGATCACCTGGTGCCACCTCCGGGTGAAGTCTCAGAACTAGGTTTAATCAGGCTCGCAGGCACGAAAGGGAACGGAAGCAAAGGGGCTGGTCCAGCAGTGGCCCTGGTCCTGGGCTCGGATTTTGAGGGTGGGGCTGTGATGAGGAACTAGGCCCTCAGTTTGAGGTCTGTGAAATGGGGAAACGGTAGTAGTTCCTGCTGCAGACCATGGAGCCCAGTGTCCAAGACGCCCCTGGCACGGGCCTAGGCGCAGTTGGAGCTGGGGACATGTCAGAGGTGGGTGATATTCTCCCGGGGGATGGCGGGGGGGAGTGGTCACTGCCCCAATCTTTCTGATGTGGCAGAGGACGCTCTGGGAAAGGGGAAAGGGCTTGCCAAGGTGCCGCAGTCAATGAGGGGCGAGTCTGGATTTGACTCTTCTTGAGGCTGACCCCGCCTTTCCCTCGGAGCCGCAGCAGCCTGGGGAGGTCAAGAAGCGTCTCTTCCACACCTCCCGCAGCGCCCACGACGACTTGTTTATCTTAGTCCGGGTCCCCAGGGTCGCTGGTGAGGCCCTAGAGCCGCCCTCGGATAAACAAGCCCAGGCCCGGCCCCAATTAAGCCGGATGCACTAACGAGGCGGCTCGTTAACGAGTTTGGGTGCGCGCCCGGAGACACCTGCGCGCCCCGGACCACCCTCCCGCGTGGCGCAGGAAGGAGGTGGAATACCTAGCTCAAGGCCCCCATCGGATCGGCCTCTTGTATCTAGGTGGCCTCAGTGTCCGCGTCTGTAAAGTGGGTCTTAAGAGTTTGTAAATGGCAACCCAAACCAATAGTCTTCCCTGGTAGCTCAATTGGTAAAGAATCCACCTGCAATGCAGGAGACCCCGGTTGGATTCCTGGGTCGGGAAGATCCCCTGGAGAAGGGAAAGGCTACCCACTCCAGTGTTCTGGCCTGGAGAATTCCATGGACTCAGTCCATGGGGTCGCAAAGAGTCAGACACGACTGAGCGACTTTCACTTTCACTTTCCAGTATTCTTGCCTGGAGAATCCCATGGACAGAGGAGCCTGGCGGGCTATACAGTCATGGGGTCGCAAGAGTCAGACATGACTTAGCGACTAAACCACCACCAAGAGTTTGTAAAGCGGGTCCGAGAGGGCCTCGCCTTGGGAGGTCGGCGTTCGGATCCCAGGCTCCTCCCGCGAAGGTGGCGACTGGCAGCGGGCCCCGCGGCCGAGAGGGCGGATTTTCCCCCTTGTCCGGCTCGGGCTGCGGATCCTGTCGCTCGGACCCGCCTCCCGAGTCCCGGCTCCGCCTCTGCCCGGGGAGACCTCAGCCCCGCCTGCGCCCCTGCCGCGGGCCCAGGAAAGAGCAGGGCGGACGGGGCGCGCCCCCTGCCGGCGGGTCTACGCCGGCTCCCGCCGCGGCCCTCTCTGGCCCCCGTCTACGCCTCGGTTTCCCGAGCTGTGAAACAAGTGTGGGACCGGGGGTGCGGGAAGAGGGTGGAGGTGTGAGGGAGCGTCTGGAGGCCACGGGAGAAAGGCTCGGGTCCGGGTGAGTCCTGCACAGCCCAGGAATTGGAGTCTTCTCTCCTTGGGCCTCGGCCTTCTCTGTAAAACGGGCTCAGCGGGTGGCGGGGAGCCCCACAACTCACTGCCCGGTTCCCTGCAGTGGACGGCTGCATCCACCGAGCCGCCGGACCCCTGCTCACCGACGAGTGCCGGACCTTGCAGAGCTGCGAGACCGGCAAGGCCAAGATCACCTGCGGCTATCGGCTGCCGGCCAAGTGTGAGTCCCGGACACCCCCACCCCGTGGGGCGCAGACAGGGCGCCTTGCGTAATTAGTGTAACTCGGGAATAAGGGTGTACCCCGACAGAATTGCTGGAGGCCTCCTCCGGGGGCACTTAAGTGCCAGGACCTGGCTCCTCCTCGCAGATCCCAGGAAGCAGGTGTGTGGAGGGCATGCGCAGAGGCTGGGAACGGCAAGGACGAAGTGAGGGAAAGAGCTCAAGAACGTCCATTGTTTCAGCCCGGTCCAGACAGATGTGGGGGGGGGGGCCCTGCGTGGGTTGGCCTGTCTGTGCAGGTGTGAATTATATGTGTGGGGTCCCTATCCGGGGAAGATCAGAACTGGGGGAGGAGGGGGCTTGTTTCCTGTCCCTTCCAGGGCCCAGGGGTTTCCCTGGTGGCTCAGCTGGTAAAGAATGTGCTGGCAATGTGGGAGATCTGCGTTCGATCCCTGGGTTGGGAAGATCCCCTGGAGAAGGAAATGGCAACCACCCCAGTCTTCTTTTGTGGAGAATCCCATGCACAGAGGAGCCTGGCGGGTTACAATCCATGGGGTCACAGAGTTGGACGCGACTTAGCGACTAAACCACCACCACCACCACCAGAGCGCAGGCCGGCAGGAGGGAAAGCCGAAGACCGCCGGAAGCTCCGGCCGGTCTGACCTCACCCCCTCCCACAGATGTCATCCACACGGTGGGACCCATCGCCCACGGAGAGCCGAGCGCCAGCCAGGCTGCTGAACTCCGCAGCTGCTACCTGAGCAGCCTCGACCTGCTGCTGGAGCACCGGCTCCGCTCAGCGGTGAGGGGCGGCTGGGCGGGGCGGGGCGGGGCGGGGCGCGGCGCAAAGAGTGACGCTGTTCCCAATCCCTTCTTACTACCCGTCACCCTAGGCGTTCCCCTGCATCTCCACTGGAGTGTTCGGTAAGTGGGCTCTAGAAGAGGAAGGGTGCAGATGGGCGGTGCGCGGGCCGGGACGCCGGGAGGAGCCGGAGTGGGCGGGGCGGCGAGGGGCGGAGCTCGGGACTCACTGGTGCCCATGGTCCCGTCCGCAGGCTACCCCAACGAGGCGGCGGCCGAGGTAGTGCTGACCGCTTTGCGCGAGTGGCTGGAGCAGCACAAGGACAAGGTGAGGCCTGGGTCCAGCCGAAGGGAGCGGAGGAAGTGGGCGGCGGGGCGCATGTGACCAACCCCACCCATCATCGCCAAGGTGTGCAGAGGGCCGGGCACTTGCTCTCTGCGTCCTTTAACTCGGTGCGTTTTCCTCCCCTGCGGCCAGGGCACAGGGAGGTTCGCGAAAGGGGTAGCGGGGCGCACACCGCTCCACGAGCCCCTTCTGTAGCCCGAGCTCTAAACCCAGGTTGAAGAGTGCCCCAAGGACAGGGCAGGGGAAACCCCACAGGGGGAGGGTGGTGGTGAGACCCAGGAGCCGGGGAGCCGGCCGCTTCCTCCCAGGCTGAACAGGCCCTGATGCAGGTGGACCGGCTCATCATCTGCGTGTTCCTGGAGAAGGACGAGAACATCTACCGAGAACGCCTCCCCCACTACTTCCCGGTTGGTAGGTGTCCCCTGCCCCCCAGCGCGCCCCCGCCAGCCCCTGTCCCGCCCCGTCCACCCAGGACAGGCTCTCACTGTCCTCTGCCTTCCAGCGTGACGCTGCCCACCCTGACCAGGACTGGTAAGCAGGGCCTGGCCCCCCGTGTGGCTGCCCACTAACCTCATGCCCACTAACACCCGTTCACCCCCACGCAGGGAAGGAAGCCAGGGAGGCAGCCTGGGAGGCCGGGGCAGCCCATGAGCCACTGCTCTGACCTCTCGTCTTTGCCTGCAGACTCCCCTGGGCCCGCTGGACCACGCTCCCAGCTCTAAGAAGTCTCTGAAGCCTGCAGTGGGGCCTGGCGGGGCCACGCTATTCTTTCCCTACACCTCCAGCCCCGTCAGGAGCCTAATAAAGACCACTACTGCTGCAGCTCCGACTGTCCCAGCTCTGCCGGGGGGAGGGAGGGCGCCCAGGTGTGGACAGCTGCTGTGGCACCGAGGGGCTGCCGAGAGCTCTCAGCGAGCCAGGCCGGGGAGGCACGAGGCTGACAGCAGAGCTGGCAGCAGCACGTCACATTTATTGAGGGCCTGCCCCCAGGAAGCTCACAGCCTGGGGGCCGAGACCCCACGCGTGCCAGGAGGCGGGCGGGGTGAGAGAGGAGGTGAAGGCAGAGAGGAAGGCAATGCGGACACCGCGGCCCAAGCAGTGGGGGTGCAAAGCAGGCACAGGCAGGGGTCCGAGGGGAGCAGAGCGGGGAGGATGGGGGACCACACACAGGCTGGAGGACTGCCCCTCCCCCACCTGACTGGCACCACCTGGGGTGCCCTGGGGCACCCTAGCGCCTACCCCTGTCCTGAGCCAGGCTGCAGCATCATGCGGTCCCTCTCCACCCAGGACTCCACCACGCAGAGCCCTGATGGAGGGCATGTGGCCGGGACTCCGGCCAGGACAGCAGTGTGGGGGCAGGGCCCAGGAGGGAGCAGCTAGAAGCTTTGGTGCTCCTGGGTTCCCGGGCAAGGCTCCGAGGACCTTCCACATCCCCAGGGAAACCCCTGGCCAGCTAAACAGGGAAGGGACAGAGGCCTGAAGGGAAAGAAGCAGAACCCAAATAACCAGGAAGGGTCCCCGAGAGGCCCAGACCCCTCAAAACTGCTCCTGGCGGGGAGGTTTGGGGGTGGACAGTGAAAAGCCAAGAGGAACCCACCTGAGGGGAAGGGGGGCAGCCAGATACAGCACAGCCAGGCGGGCAGCAGCCAGGCAGGGACACGCAGACACGCGGTCACCACCAGCGTCCCCTTTAATAAAACACGGGAGGTCGTGTGACAGGGAGGGGTAGGCGAGTGAAGTATGACCATTTACAACCACAAAAAACCTCTGTACATGTCTAGTGCCTGGCAGAGGGGTGGGTGGGCAGGGTGGTGGCAGGCCAGGCGGCCCTATTTGTAGAGGATGTCGTAGTGTCCAGGCCGGTAGAGAAGGTAGACCTTGGGCTCGGAGCCCTCGGGGAAGATGTGGGGGTTGGTGGTGCCGCCCTCGCCGCGGTCCATGTACTCCACCTGGATGGAGACGCTGAGCGCCTGGGCCAGCGCGATGATGTGGATGTGGTCGCTCTCCTTGCACATGGGCTCCACCTCCTGCAGCACAGGGCAGCTCAGGGGGTGCTTGGGGCCCAGGGCTCAGGGCCCCTCCCACCTGGGCTCCCCCCCAGGGCTCGAGAGAAAAGGGGGCCCACGGCTGAGGAGTGGGGAGGGGGCAGCACCTGCTGGCAGAACTCCTTGACGGTCCGCCCCCCCTCGATGAAGTGCTCGAAGAACTTGCTCTCGCGCTGCAGGTAGCCTGAGGTGAGCAGCCGAAGGTAGACCACCAGGTAGTCCGAGGTGCTCTGGTCGTTGAAGGAGGCCAGCAGGTCGGCCACGGAGGTCTGCTTCTCCACCTGCTCGATCAGGTCCATGAACTGCGCCCGAGGGGGACAGAGGGCGAGACGAGGGGGGAGACGGTCACCCCTGCCACCGCCAGGCTGCCACCCGCCACCCTGGCCGACCCCGTGGCGGGGCAGCTGGGCTCACCGTGTTGTGGAAATCCTCAATTGTGAACTCAGTGAAGCCTTGGGACACCAGGTCCTCTTTGCTCTTGGCAGACACAGCCTTGAACCTGTGGACAGGCAGAGGGCGCCATGGGCTCCTAGGCCAGCACTGGGGCTCAGGGGGAGCCACACCTCCTAGCCACCAACAGGGAGGACGGAGCCCAGGCACCATCACGGAACCTCTCCCATGCGCCTCCTCACCGCTGCAGTTCCTTGCTGTCGTCCAGCAATGCCTCCAAGTGGGAGAATCCGAAAGCGCGATAGAAGCAGTTTCCATCAGGCCTGGTCTTGCGGATGTATGAGTACTTTTTGTGGAGGTCCTGTGGAGAGGCAGCCCCCACCCCACCCCATGCCCATCAACATCCGGCAGAAACCAGGGCAGGCCCAGGAAATGCCCCCAACAGAGGTCACACCACAACAGCCTCCTGTGGTGTTGGCTGCTGACTCCGATAATGGGGGTCACTTAGCAACCAGCTCCTGGCAGCCCCCACAGCCTCAGGAACATGAATTATAGACACATTGGTTGCATCGGTCACCAAAGTGGTCATCAACCGCTAGGCATGCCATGCTGCTGGGCCTAAAGGGCTACTGTTTCATAAAACCAGGCAAGTGAATGGGTCCTTGACGGAGGCAGCTTTTCCAGTGAATAGCCTTTCAAACCCTGAGAGCTCCAGGGCAAACATGTCAGTGTATTCGGCGCGGTGCCGCACTGGGGCCCCCACTGCAGTCCTGGGCAGGAAACAACCCCCTCATCTCCATCCAATCCCTACCCTGCCCGCTCACAGGTACTGGTTCAATCTTTCCCAGTTTCCTCCCCAGCTCAACAGAGTTTCTCCTGTCTGTTCCATTTCCCCTCAGGGGTCTGGCCCTCGGCACTGTCCCGCAACCAGGCCTCACTCCCCGGGCCTGAGCACCCTCCCCTTCCTCCTGACGCCTATATTTCATGCCTTCTCCCCATATCTTAAGTCCCCAACTAGTCACCTTCTCGACGACCATGCTTCCTTTGTGAGGACTTCCACTAAGAAGCCATCACCCCCACGGCACCCTGCCCTGCAGGGGCCTCGCTCTCCATCCCTGGAGGGTCCAAAGCTGCTCCCAGAGCTACCTTCCCTTGGACTTAGGACACTGTTCCTGAAATGTGCCCTCCCCTCTCCACCATCAGCTTCTCTCTCCCAACCCACTGGACCCAGCCGCCTATAAACAAATGCTCTGCTCCCCATGAATTCCCTCGCAGCTACCTCCCCACCTCTCTGCTCTCCTGCAGGGCAGCACTACTCCTGAAGCCGCCTGTGCTGCTCTGTTTCTTTTCTGCTGGGAACGCAAGCCCAGCCGGCTTCTACTCTAGTGAAGGTCACAGACGCCCTCCTAAGTCTGAGGGTCAAACCCATTCCCCCCAGACCGTTGCTGAGCGGCATCTACCTGCACCCACAGGTGTGGTGATGCGAACCCCCTTCTTCCCTCCTCCCCCACCCTCCCCATGCCCTCTGACCTCACCACTGCCCCTCTTCACCTACCCGTGGTGGTCAGGGTAACCACCCAACCACACACCCTTCCTCAAGACCTGTGTGTCACCTGCCACAAGACAGTCACGCCAGCGACCATCAACAGCCCCTGCTGCGTGAAGAGCACAACCTGTTCAGGCCTGGGGCAGCCCCGGTGTCAGCTGTCTCCTGACCTCCTGGGATTTAAATGGAATTCTTCACCCACCCACTTCACCCTCAACTCAACTGCCTGGGCTGCACCCGCTCTAAACTGCCCAGCCAACAGGCGGCTTCTGACCTCGTGGCCTTCCCTGCCTTTCCTCAGCTCCCCACCTTTCAGCCATGGAGTCAAACCCTCCCAGCTGTGCGGACTCCACCCTCACTGGCCCTGTCCAGCCAGCAGCAGACCCTGCCACTTGGCCCGCGGCAGTCTCTCCTCACGTGGGCTGTTCTGCTGCCCCGTCCAACTCCATCCAGGGCCGGTTTCATCGCAAAAGCTTCCACACGGGTCTCCCGGCCTGCACCCCACTCACTGCCCAGTCTCCGTGGCACCAGTGACCACAGAAACCCACTAGCACGCGGCTCCCTCCAAATCCCTTCTGGGCTCCAAGCCCCGTGTCTCCCACCCACTCTGCTCCCACTATGCTGGCCGCCCCCCGGCTCCACCCGGATGGCCGCCCCGCCTTGCTCGCTGGCCTCTTTCAGTTCATCAGACACCACCCTAGGTAGACCTGCAAATCCCCGCCCCCCATCTCCTCGGCCCGTTTCACTTCTGTCCACAGCACTCACCACCTCCGCCATACATGTGAGCTGCCTTGACTTAAGGGCTGTCTTTCCACCCTGAACCACCACAGTGACTTGGCAGCTGTAGTCATCACTATCTCCAGAGCCTAAAACTGCCTGGCCCACAGTGTGTGCTCCTAGTGTTAAAATGGGACAAAATGTGTACAAAGAGCCCAAATCCCTGCCACAACCAGAACTGTTCTGAGCACTTACTCCGTGCCAGGCCCATCATCCTCCCACGTGTGCCCCAAGGGCCCACTTCACAGAGGAGCCAAGGCACACAGCAGCGTGGGCCCTGCTGTCTGCGCTCTGGCTCCTCCCAGGGAGCTACGGTGGGCTCAGGCCCAGCCTGGGCGGGGTGTCAGGCGCCGAGGCAGGCCTGTCCAGACAGCACACGGCTGACACTTGAACATCTGCCGACTGACTCAGGGGGAGAACCTGAGAGGCGTGGCCTGTCCACTTTACTGAAGTGGCCCGTGTGACAGGCAGGCTTTGAGCCCCGCCAGCCCACCACACAGAGAAGAGGGGGGACTCACCGCCTCCCAGGCGCTGGGCTCCACGCCTGACCACCGTCCTCTCCTGCAAGCCTCACGTCCACCCCACGAGACAGGCCTCTCCACCCAGAGCTGGCAGATCAACAGAGGCCCCAAGAAGGCCAGTGTGCTGCCCAAGATCACATAGTAGGGGGAAGGCGGGACTCAACATCAGGTCGGTCGGGCCCCAAAGCCAGGGCCTTCTCTCCAGAGGCCTCCAGGGTAGACCATGAACACCACGAGCAGGGGCAGAGGAGCCCACAGGCCACATGCGGCGGGCTCTGGCCTGCATGTGCACTGTCTGGCCCACACACTGTAAGTGTGAATCAGCTGCCAACTGTCAGGAGTCTGGAGATTTTACAACAAAATGATTTCTGGCTGGTCGGCCTCGGAAGCACTGATGGAGTGACAGGCATGGATGCTCCCATTAGCCCCATGAGCCTCCACCACTTGCTACTGATGGAGCCGGGCTGCAGTGCCCACTGTTCACCGCCTGATCTGACCACCTCCAGTCACCTGGGTTACCTGCCTGGCCCCTCAAATGGCTAACCCCAAAGGCCAACCTTCCAGGTCAAAGAGTCTAAGCAGCTTTGATCTTTGGGGGAAGTGGGGAAGGAGTATCATTTACTAAACCCTCAGGCTGTGCCCCGGAGAAGGCAATGGCACCCACTCCAGTGCTCTTTCCTGGAAAATCCCACGGACGGAGGAGCCTGGTGCGCTTCAGTCCATGGGGTCGCTAAGAATCGGACATGACTGAGCGACTTCACTTTCACTTTTCACTTTTGTGCACTGGAGAAGGAAATGCACCCACTCCAGTGTTCTTGCCTGGAGAATCCCAGGGACGGGCGAGCCTGGTGGGCTGCCATCTACGGGGTCGCACAGAGTCGGACACGAATGAAGTGACTTAGCAGCAGCAGCAGGCTGTGCCCAGGAGACACTGTGTACACACACTCACTGTCACACTTCAAACCCCCAGCTCACAGAGGAGGAAGTGAGTGGTTAAAGGACTTACCTCACTTTCTAGGGGAGGCAGCAGGGCCTTGCACGAAGGTCCAGGGGCCCCTCTCCCCAGTGCTGCCTGCCTCTCCACGGAAACAGGAGGCAGGATTGGGTCCCCCGCCGCCACCCTCCCCAGCTAGCCAGCCCCGGCCCACCAGCACCCCCGTGAGCACTGAGAGCACCGGCTCCCCACAACCAGCACCAGGCCCCCCAGGCATCGTCTCCCGCAGCCTCACAAGCACCCTGGCTTTCGTCAGCCTGATTTCACAGCTGAGGTCTCTGCAGCTCTGAGACCAAAGGAGCTGCTGAGGACACAGCTGCCACGTGGCAGCATCAGGATCTGAATCAAGGTCTTTTTGGTTCCAGACTCCGCCAACCTGTGAACCAGCGACCAGAGGGCTCCCCCACCATCCTCTGAGGCCAGGCCCAGCCAAGTGCAGGTCTGAAGCGGCCAGGCTTCCGCCCCTACCCGAGGGCTCTTCCTGCCCCCTCGGCCAGGCTCCCACCTTGATCTTCTGTTGATAGATGTTGTCATCCTCAGCATACTCTTTGTAGAGGACAGAGAGCTCCAACCGCTCTGAGACCAGCGGGTTCTGCACAGCAATCTGCGGGGGGCGGGGAGGAATCCGTCACGTTCTGACAGGTGAATGGAGTGACCCCCGCCTGTCAGCCTGAACAGCTAGCTGACAGTTGCTGAGCCAGTCACCCAGCAGCACAGGGACCACACACCCCGCCCCCCAAAAAGGCATCTAGTACCAGCTCAGCCTGGGGAGGAGGGAGCTTCCACAGTAGAGACAAACAGTAGGCCTCAGTCCAACCAATGTATCCCCAAAGTAAGGCCACTGGCCACAGCCACTCACCTCTTGCTGAATTCGGTCCTGCTGAGCCATGATGGCTTCATCATAAGCAAGACAGTTAACACCTGGAAGAAGGAAGAAGGCCAAGGATTACAGCGGGCCCTGGATTTCCCCACTCCAGGAAGCTGGGCCGAGGACAAGAACGGGCCAGGAGAGCAGATGTGCAATCTGGAAGCATGCGTCATGCCCTGCTCCACCCCAACTGTGGGATCTTGGCAAAGTCCTTCCCTTTCCCGGGCATGAGTTTTCTCATCTTTAAAGTGAGGAGGCCAAGGACTTCCTGGAGGTCCAGTGGCTAAGGCTCCGAGCTCCCAATGCAAGGGGCCTGGGTTTGATCCCTGGTCTGGGAACTAGATCCCACCTGCCACAACTGAGACCCAGCATAGCCAAACAAGCATAAATAAATGGTAAAAAATAAAGTGAACAGGCCAAGGTGATCACCCCCAAGGTACACTCCTCCAACTCTAACAAGCCCTCTCCCCCTGCTTTCTAACATCGCTTCCCAGCAGCCCAGGAAGGCCCCTGAGCCAGGCGGGGTCTCTTGAGGAAAGACAGATGACAAAGCAGAGTATCTTGGGCTAGATGAGAGCTTCCTGTGAGCTTGCACTTTACTCAATCACACCATTCCTCCTTCTGCCATCCTGGGTATTCTTAATGGTGCCCATTTTACAAAGAACAAAAATGCAGACAGGTGAAATCATCTGCCCGAAGTCACTACAAGGAAGACCTGTGGTCAAACCCAGGTTGGTCTTAATTGCAAAGCCTGCGCTCTTCACCACAATAACTCCTCTGCCACCTCATTGCACAGGATTGTCTGCTGTGAACAGAGACAGATACACCACCTTCCCCCCTTCACTGTGATGCTGTGAGGAGGTGGTACCTTATCAATACTCATCACTGAGTTGGGCGGGTCCACTCTGTGGGCCCCATGCCAAGCAGCCACTGGTGAGAAGCCAGACCTGAATCCTGGCTCCGGTTCTTTCTTAACTTACATGATCCTAAACAAGTCCCTTAGCAGGCGGGGGGATGGGGCCTAGGTCCCCAAAAGCTCAGTTTCTCAGGGTGCGGTTAGAAGGGGAGCTGTGTGCTGAGTGACTTTTCAGGTCAATCCTTTTGAGCTTGAGCAGCCCGGGGCCTCAGCTGGGCCTCCACCCACCCCCTACACTGCACTCCGACTGGGCCGTCCCTCCCAACCCTAGTGACCTCCTCAGTCCCCAGTGTCTAACTCAGGGGTGAGAAGAAGAGGGTGGGACCGTTTTGAGGGGTCCAACTCTTCAGGGGTCTAAGGAAACTCTGCCGAGACAGGAAGCAAGGGGCTGCGAAACCAGGAGAGGGGGCTCTGCCGGAAACGCAGGGCGCTGCCCTCAGGAGCACACACCTGCGGCCGCTCACAACCCCGGGCCGCCCGCAGCATCCCCAGCGGCCCGCCCAGTCCTTTGTGCTCCGCAGTCCGGCGTAATTCGACGCCCTCCCAAGCTCGGGCCGCTCTGGAGGAGGCGGACTAAACGAGGCCGAACTAGGCTCGGGCCTGACTGCCAGTTCCGGGGTGGGAGAGCCGGGGACCGGGGATCCAGGCGCTCAGCGGGGAGGGGGCTGGGCGGGGGCTGGGGGGGCGGAGCAGCCTAGGCCCCGCCCCAGGAGCGCGCGACAGGGAAGAGTTGCGGGCCGGGGCCCGCCCCGCTTTCTCTACCACCGCCCGCCCGGCCGGGGGTCGCGGCGGCAGCTCCTTCCATTGTGAGGGGGAGGGGAGGCGGCGGAGGCGGAGGCAGGGGCCCTCCGCTCGCTTCGCCTCCAGCCGCCTCAGCCCTGGTTTCCTCGGGAACCGGCTATCCGTCATCGCCCCCGCTACCCCAGGCCGGGCGGCTCTCCCCTAGTTGGTACCTTCGGAGTCGCTGCCAAGCGGCTCCTGCTTCTGCTGCTGAGGTTCCTCCGCCGCCATCTTTAAACAGCGCCGCACTGCTGACCGCTTCCGGGTTACTAGTTGTCCTCCCCCCGGAAGACAGCCCCTCCTCGAGGCCCCTCCTTGGTAACGCCCCTAGCAACGGTATCCCCTCGGGCGTAGTCACCTGAGGGGCTCGCAGCCGCGTTCTGCACCGGCGGAAACCGGGGGACTTGAAGGCAATCCACGCCCGCCTTCCTTCCGCACGCTTGCTCGGCTCGGTCTTCCCAGGCTCCCAATGTGCCATGGGGTGATAAGAGCTTCCTGGGGCCACTTGAGTTTTCTTTTCACTGGAGTTTGAAACGCGGATTGTATTACTGAGATAAGCAGGAAAATGAAATTCAAATCACGGAAGGCGATTCCCGCTGTGGGCTCCAGAACTCAAGACAGGCGAATGCAATGAGGATCACCTAGCCGAGGGGACCGGGAATTCTACTAATATCCGAGCTCTGGGAATTCACCGCCCCGCTCCACCGAGCCTTGGCTCCGAGCGGGCTTTGGTGTCCTGCTTCTGACCGAAAGACCATGACCCTCGGGGTCGACCTAACTTTGGACTCCCTGCCCTTGTGATTATGAGAAAATCAGGATTGTTTTTCTTTTTGTTTTTTAAGATAGAAGTTGACAACAAGGAGAAACAGATTAGTGGTTCCCAAGGGTTGAGTAGGGGGCAGGAGGGAAGTGGACGTGGTTATAAAAATGAAGCAGGAGAATCCTTGTGGAGATAGAAGTGTTCTTCATCTTGAATATATATGGATATCCTAGAATATGCTGCACTGTAGTTTCAAACGCAAGATGTTACCAGTGGGGGAAAGTGGGTAAAGGATAGACAGGATCTTTCTGTGTAATCTGTTAAAATCACCTGTGAATTACCTAAAAAGTGTCAAGGCCTTGGATGCTGAAGATGTAGTTATTTAGAGAAGTAACCTTCAGGGGTACTGTTTTCTTGCCTTTCACTATGGAGTGCCTTTTCCATGATATGACAGTGGTCTCTTAGCACTTGAGGAAACTGTCTGAGCCCCAGTCAGATCCCTCCGTCCATGATAATACAGGTGCAGAATAGGATGAATATCTTCATGAGCTACATCCAGCCCTGGAGCAGGGGCAGTTGGTGCCTGGGCTCACCACATTGCCCACAGTGGCTCTCTCACAGCAACGTTACACATGCCAAGTCTGTGCCCCAACAACATTGCAAATTACTATTTCCTAGGTCACCGATCCTTGTGTTTGCTTCCAAATTCAAGGAAGCACAGGGGCTACCCATTTGGATCCCATGCCTACCAAACTGGGCTTCTCAGGTGACACTAATGGGAAAGAACCTGCCTGAAATGCAGAAGATGCAGGAGGTGCAGGTTCGATCTCTAGGTCGGGAAGATCCTCTGGAGGAGGAAATAGCAACCCACTCCAGTATCCCTGCCTGGAGAATCCCATGAACAGAGGAGCCTGGCAGGCTACCTATCACCCAGAGTCACAGAGTCAGACATGACTAAAGCCACTTAGCACAACACACACACACAGCACACCAAACTGTTCATTCCTTTTCCCAATTTTACCAGTGCAATCTGGAGCTGCCAGTTAGATCTTCAGTTAGTAAGCTTGTGCCTGCCAATGTTCAATTGTGTCAGACTTTGCGACCCTGTGAGCTACATCCCGCTAGGCTCCTCTGTCCATGGGATTCTTCAGGCGAGGATACCGGAGTGGGCTGCCAATTTTCTCCTCCAGGGGATCTTTCCGACTCAGGGATCAAATGCATGTCTCCTGCATCTTCTTCATTGGCAGGTGGATTCTTTACTGCTGAGCAACCTGGGAAGCCCTGTCAGTAGCATTGGTATTACCAAATGAGGAGCAGTTGATGACAAAAGCATGATTTCTATTCTGGCTCTACAAAATCTTGAAAATAGCTGTAAGACAACTCCACCTTTACCCTGACTCCTTACTTTGACTGGGGAGTCTCAGGGGTGGGAAGCACACAAAGGGAGCTGGATTGGGATTAATGTGGGGACAGAGAATCCAGTTGCTCTGAAGGGTGAGAAGGAATCCCATTTGTGGCCCAGTGCTTGACTGCGACCATGCTGCCAATGCCGAGTAAATGCCTCCCTCAACACAAGGGTCTGGGGCTCAAAGATCTGCACCCTCAGTGTATGCAGGGTGTGTAGTTGAGGGGCCCTCCTGCCTGCTGCCCACCCTCCCCCTCTTGTCAGGGGGAAGCTTTGACTCTTAATCCAGTCCCAGGATGGTCAACTTTTGCCCTGCTTTCTTCCATGTCAATTTGGTGATGACTAACTGTTCTCTTACCCTCATTCCATCTCTCCTGCTACTTTTTACCATTTTCGGGTTTTGATTCTCTATCCTGAAGCATCTAAAACCCAATAGCATATTTGCCAGGAATCACCAGCTCCAGATGTTCACCTCTGCCTTTCAATTTACAAACCCAGAAATGAATGGTCCCACACTGCCGGTCCTGCCTGCTGAGGCCTATCATGGGACAGGCAGCACTGCTGCTTGGGTTTAGGCTGCTGTTGGAAACAGTCACAGAGGTGATGGGCAGCAGCCTAGGACTTTATGTTCCATAGACCCGACCTGGCATAGATGCCTCTTCACAGGCTCAGGATGTGTCCAAACAACGCATCCATGACCATAGCATTCTTTCAGCTGGAGCGAGAAGAGACCCCATGCAAAACCCAGGACTCTGTGACCTCAGCCACAGACGAAGTTTTAGGACAGTACAGAGGCCCTAGAGAGCCACATGGCTTCCAGGCCCACCCAGCTTCTCAGGGAAGGAGGCCAGGCAACAGGACATGGCACAGGCCTTGGGAAAGCTGCAATTCTCATAGCGGGATCGTGGACAGGAGAAAGCCTCAAGGTGGGTGGAAGACGAGGCCCCAGTGATCCTTTCCAAGAAAGGCTTAGGAATCAGGCAGCTGCCCGGGTGGGAAGAGTAGGGACATGCCCAGCCCGGAAATGGACCTCTGGAGATGCCACTGTGGGAATGTCCAACCATCCACAGGCAGCCGGCTCCAGAATTATAGTCTAGCGAGGCTTTGATGGCGTAGCCAGGCTGATGAGGCTGCACGGGGGCTGCTGGGTAAGTTGTTACTTGTCTGCAGGGTTCACACCACCTAAGGCAGAAAGTGAGCAGAGAGGCAGAGGCCGCAGAGAGAGCCCCGCCTCGACCCTCTGACTCACACCACCCATGCTTGTTCAGACATCTTCGTCCTGCAGATGTCTCACATTGCAATTCTCCTCAAGTCTGCAGAGGATCCAGCCACACTGGACCAGAAGGATCCATGGCTCCTTACTGCGGTTGTTAACTAGACACCAGTTAGTGGTTTAGAACAACACAAATGTTTAGTTTTGCAGTGTGAGAGGTCAGAGGTCTGGTATGGGTTTCACCAGACTAAAATCAAGGTTATCTGTAGGCTGTGTTCCCTTCCAGGGGTTCTGAGGGAGAATCTGCTTCCCACTCATGCAGGCTGTTAGCAGAATTCAGTGCCCTGCAGCTCTGGGTCTGAGGTCCTGTGTCCCTGCCAGCTGTAAACTGAGAACTCTTCCCAGCTTCTAGAGGCCGCTGCGTCCCTTGGAACACAGCCCACTTTCTCCATCTTCAAAGCCCCAAGGCAGGCAGAGTCTGCAGGGCATCTCTGCCTTCCCTGTCCGCCTGAAGGACCCGTGTGACTATACTCAGCCTACGGGTAGGCTACACTTTGGCATGCCTAATTTTCATCACACTTTTGCCATGACGGTTACACAGTCACAAGGGCGCAGGGATTAGGGCATGGACATTTTCCTTCCTGCCACATCACCACCTTCACTTTAGAGTCATGGAAACTGAGACCCAGAGAGGCTAAATGACTTGGTCAAGGTCATACAGTCAATGACCAAGCCAGGCCTCAAACCGAGGCCTCCGGACTCCCGGTCCACTGTGCTTGACATTATATCCTCTGCCATGACTGCAACCTTCCCTCCACAACCCCCACCGGCTGCTTGCACTCCAGGACACAGACACCCACCTCCAGACTCAGGATCGGACAGACACAGAAAATGCTGTTTGGGGGCACAGGGAGCCTTGCTTTCACTACACAGAATGGCCCCTGGGCCTCTGAGTTGGTTAGAGGTAAGAGAGGAACACAGAACGGTGACCAGATGTAAGGCCCAGGGGAAGACGCGGTCCAAGCCTGACAGCTCACACCCTACTCTCCCATCCACCCCCAAGTCCGTGCCCCTGCCCCACCCTCAGCTCACGGCTGTGCCCAGCAGGTACAGGAGCACAGGGGCAGGACGGGCTGCTGGGCCTCCTAAGGGCTTTCTCAGACCAGGGTCCTGAAGATCCGGCCTGTAACCACCGGCTTCCCTTCAGTCCGAGGAGCAAGCAGTTCAAGACGCACGGCTCTGGGCCTTAGCCCTCCTGGGCCACGGGGACCACTGTGCCCCTCGGGGATCCAGCGGCACAAAAATGAGGGACACCTTGGCAGGGCAGGAGCACCACAGAAACCCAAGACAGTGCTGAGTGTCACAGACTCACAGCCTAATCTGTGCCCACAGCAACCAGGCATCACTGGACACCACGCAAAAAGGCCAGGTAAAAAAATAAATTTAAAAAATTTTAAAAAGGCCAGGTAAGACTAAATGAGGGTGGGTGAGCAGGGTCCCCCTGCAGCTCCTGTCAACATAAATCAGGAAACGAGCCCTGAGCAAGGGGCTGTTAAGATGCGTGTTCTGACACCCAGGGTCTAAAGCACCCAGAGCCCCTCAGCTTTCACCTGGCATCTCTGCCCACCATCCAGCAGCTCCAGGGGACACAGCCTGTGTCTGCTCAGAAATCATTCATGTCACCCCAGCAAAGAGAACTAAAGGGGTGGCTCCAGCGGGTCACAGCCTTCCTTCCAGAGACTGGCAGGCAGAGTTCCAGCTCAGCGGGGCACGCTTCACATACCTGTCCCAGCTAAGGAGATGCCCCCAGGAAGAATCACTGAGGAAGGACACTGAGAATGGATGAAGGAGCAGCAAATTCTTCAAGCCAAAGAGGGGAGGGTACATGGAAGCAGGCAGGGAGAACAAGGAAGCCGGTCAGTGCAAAAGCATTTACAGATACGGTGCTGAAAGGGGCCCGAGGTTGACAGAACAATGCAAGATACTGTAACGCGGCCCACCAGCACCCAGGAAGGGCAACGAGCACCTGGGAAGTGGCTGGAGCCCAGAGACCGAGGACAGAGCAGGCCAGCCCCACCGAGGAGGGGCTTCCAGCCGCAGAGCTGGCCCCACTGGGAGAAAGACACTGAGACAGTCTCAGGCTTGGCACAACCAAGGGAGCTAGAGGAGGATCAAGAAAGGCTGCCCGACCACAATGGGATGTGTTTTCCATGGGAGCCAGAAAACCTTTAAAGAGAGGAAAGCATGCAACGGAAGCACCACTCTCAGGCTTCAAGGAGCAAGGCTGAGCACACATGACCCACCACAGCTGTGAAGCCGGCCAGGCCCTCTTCTCCATGCCTCATCCAACACCGTCCTTAACTCAAGGACGAAGGCAGGAGCCCAGGCTGAAGGCATGGTGAGTTTCTGAAGCGGGGTTTATTTTCTTAATAATTTTACTATTTTTTGGCCACACCGTGCAGCTTGCGGATCTTAGTTCCCCAACGAGGGATCGAACCCCCACCCCCACCCGCTATGAAAGCGCAGTGTCCTTACCACTGGACCACAAGGGGATTCCCCCTGAAGCACGCTTTAAGTAGACTTTATTGTTACAAGGGAGGCCATACTGAGCAGGGCCTTATAAACAGATACATGTGGTCCCAGGATGTCACCGTGGAGAAATCAAGATGTCATGACTGCAGAAGAGGTCACTGTAACAGAAGGACATGATCCAGGGGAGGCCGGCCAGGAATGCAGCAGACGTGATCAGGAAAGGCTGGGGTGGTCAGGTCTCGGGGTGAGGGAGAGGACAGCTCCCATCACTCCCGCTTCTTGTAGCTCTCCAGGTGTGACAGGACCCAGCCGGAAGGCAGGAGGAAACACAGGAAGCAGGAGGTGAGCCCAATGGCGATATCCTACACAGAGCACAAGAGAAAAGGAACCCCCAGAGTAAGGTTTCCCTCAGGCTCCTCAGAGCCGGAGCAATCTTCCCAGACAACAGAGAACCCTCTCCAGGAATCAAGATTCAGGCTCCAGGGGAGTGCCACTCTAGGTCTTAAGGTAAAGGATCAGATATGGCGGCAGGGGTCAGCCCAGGTTGCAAAGTGAAGGGAGAGGGACAAGGATCTAATCTTGCTTTGAAGCTGGCCTGTTTGGCGTCCAGGAACTTTGCATAGACCAGTAACTCCAAAATACACCTCTCCTTCCTTGTCTTAAAAACCTCCCCCTACCCAACTATTGGGGCTAGAGCTAAGACTTTTTACAGCCACTTGCATATCCCCCAAAGCAGTTAAGGCCACAGCACGACTTGGAGTTATATTTCAGTTCAAATTCCTTCTGTGCCACTGGAGGTGTTAACTTTTGACAAGTCAATTGTTGTTGTTGTTCAGGAGCCAAGTGGTGTCCAACTCTTCGCGACCCTATGGACAGCAGCCCACCAGGCTTCCCTCACCATCTCCTGGACTTTGCCCAAGTTCATGTCCACTGAATCGGTGTACACTGCTCCTAAATTTCAGCTCTCTCAGCCAGGAAATGGAGATAACGGCCCTCTCTCAGGATGACTGGGAGGGCTGAAGGAGACCAGTGCAACAGTCTTAGCAGTGTCTGGCACACAGCAAGCACTCGGCTGCAGTTCCCGTCACAATCATTTCCTCCGCCGCCGCAGCGCTCTCTGGGCTCTTCTCCTAAATGGAAGCCCACTAACCTGGATTCTGAAGACTCGCATTCAAGGCCGAGATCTGCCACTGAGGCAAACTCAGAAAAGAGCCCAACAGGTGCAAATCATTAAGGGTTAAACTCTCCCACGTTTCTGGGAATCACTAAAGCCTGCTGGGGTCCTCTTCCCCACCCCTAAATAATTACTAACAATGACAGTGCTGACAGCCCTCAGGCATCTCCCAATGAGCTGATGTGTAAACAGGCTCAGAGCGGGGGGCTACGGAAGCTTGCATAGCAAGGAAGCGACAGGGAAGAACTGACGTGGTCTCACCTGAGACCCTGGGGCAGACTGTCGCCCCCCCAGACGCCCAAACCAGCCCAGCTGCTCCCCTTTACGCGGTAAGCCGCGAGGTGCAGCGCACCAGACTCGGCAGGCCCCCAACCTGCCGCGGGACCCTCAGTCCCGCCTGCAGCATCTCCCATGCCCTTCCCGGCCCGCTCCTCACCATGGTCCCGAGCTGCTCCCGCGGCGGCTTGGAATGTATCTGGGCACGCGGCACTGGGAGCCGCCGGGCAGGGCCTGTCAGGCCTCTCAACAGCAGTGGAGTCAGCACAGACATGACGCCACTGAGCGGACTGCAGGTAACGCGCAGCCGGAGTCCAAGGTCGCGAAGTCAAAATGGCGGCCCCGGCCGGAAGTTCCGGAGTGGTAGGGGCCTGGAAAAAAAGAGCGACCCGGAAGTCCCTGGGAAGTGACGTAAGGAAACACCGCCCACCGCCCTTGTCAGTTTTTGGCGCCTTCCTCGAAACAGCCAATCGACGCCATCCTACCGCCGGTGGGCGAGGCACGGGGGGGAAACGTTGCTTTCTGATATGCCCCGCCTCCAAAGCAGCCTATCTTCGTGAGTGACATCTATAGCTACCCAGTCACATAAGCCAGAAACCTAGGCGGCATTCTTGACTCCTCCCTCCATTCATACTCGAGTTTCTGTTTAGAAATCCCCTGTCCCCGCCAGGACTCTTAACTTCTGGCCTGACCGCCTGGTACTAACCGGAGCAAAGCCTGTATCTGGTTCACTACTGTCTCCAAAGAGCTACTAACCTCCTAACTGAACTCTTACAGTTGTCCTCTCCAATTCCAGTCTCCATGCAGTAGCAGCCAACCCTCCTCCCTTCTCTTTAAATATAAATCTAACCAAGCCATTTGTTACTTAGTCGCTAAGTTGTGTACGACTCTTTTGCGACCCCATGGACTGTTATCTGCTAGGCTCCTCTGTCCATGGAATTTTGCAGGCAAGAATACTGAAGTAAGTTGCCATTTTCTTCTCCAGGGGATCTTCCCAACCCAGGGATCAAACCTGCATCTCCTGCATTGCACTGCATTGCAGGCTGATTCTTTACCACTGAGCCGCCACCAGGGAAATCCTTAACAAAGTCATATGTGTGAGTGCTCAGTTGCTTAGTCGTTTTGGACTATGACCCTATGGACTGTAGCCTGCAAGGTTCCTCTGTCCATGAGATTCTCTAAGCAAGGTTACTAGAGTGGGTTGCCATTTCCTTCTCCAGGGGATCTTCCCAACCCAGGGATCATTGCCAGGCAGATTCTTTACCACTGAGCCACCTGGGAAGCCCTCCTAACCAAGATATACACCTACTTTAAAATCTTTGTGGCTCCTCATTGTATACTAAACAAAGTCTCAATTTCTGGATGTCACCTTCCACCCTCATCTCCAAGTATTCCCCACCCTTCTCCTTGCTCTCTGGTCCTCCCACCCCAAAGCCTTCTATTTCTTTGTATCTTAGGTTCTACAGAACACTTTTTCAACACTTAACCTACCTAGCCTTTCTTTTTCACCACTCCAACTTCTACTTCTGAAACAGGAGGAAAGATGGCAGAGCACCACCTTTAAAAGAATGACATATGGAGAAGGAAATAGCAACCCACTCCAGTATTCTTGCCTGGAAAATCCCTGGACCTAGGAGCCTGGTAGGCTAGTCCATGGGGTCACAAAGAGTCGGACACGACTGAGGGACTTCACGTTCTTTCACCTATATTGAAAACAACTGATTATGTGAACTCCCTGACTTTGTTAGTAGGTTATTTTATGCTCCTCACTAAAGCTCAAAGTCGTTTATTCCAAAGTTTCATCTGTTTGAGGAAACTCTTTCAGGATAAAATCATCAGTTAACCCAATTTCTGCCTGAATTTTTTCACTGATGAGGGCAGTGCCTTAAACTCCCCCCTCCTTGTTTTTTTGGCAGGTAGGCATAAATATATTTAATAAATGTACAACTTAAGTCCTTTCAAAAAATAAATAAATAAATAAAAAATAAAGGAATGACATAGCCAAAGGACATGACACAACCATTAGAACCAAATGGGTTCAATATGGTGGACAAGTCAACTTCCACTAGACTTTGGGTATATGCTCATTGTAACCCATCAGCAAGCTAAATGGCACAACCACAGGTGCTATGACTGTTTCAAGGCTGACTATAAAGGTCAAGAAGTAGGTGTTAGTCCAGTTTCTGGAAATCCACACCCCTTCCCCAAGAGACACAGGTTTGATCCCTAGGTCAGGAAGATCCCCTGGAGAAGAAAATGGCAATCCACTCCAGTATTCTTGTCCAGTATTCCATGGACAAGAGGAGCCTGGCGGGCTACAGTCCATAGGGTTGCGAAGAGTCAGACACGACTGAACACACACACACATACACATACATACATCCCCAAAATAGCTGGAATACTCCTCCCACTCATTAGCCTATGAAATTACCCACTCCTATAAAATGACAACCACATACCCTAGGGTCGCTCTCTCCTTCTGAGATGGCCCACAATCTGTTTATGGAGTGTTTTTCTCTCTAAATAAGTCTGCTTCTTACCTATCACTTTGTCTTTCTCTTAATTCTTTCTGTGATGAGACATCAAGAACCTGAGCTTCATTAAGCCCCTAAACCTGGTGTGTGATCACAGTCATAAGACCACGGTCTCAAGTCCCAGTCTGCGTTTTGGCTGAGTTGGAGTCCCAACATGTGGGTTCAAGTCTTGATCTGTTGGGGGTCCCAGTTTACACAGTTTCTCTTACAGGCCTCCACTTACAGATACAGCTTACTTTATTCAACAAATGTTTGCCAGCCCCTACTGTGTTTCAGGAACTGTTCTAGACACACAGTGAACAAAGTGAACAAGGACTCCCTTATCACAGAACCGACATTCCAGAGGCAGACAAAAGACAAACACTTGATGAGAAGTTATTAAGAGTGCCATGATGTGATAGGAAGTGATAGGTGTGACACTGCTGCAGGAAGCCTTCCCTGGCCACCCCAGGCTGATGCCACTTCTGTGCCCGGCAGCCCCTGTGACAGTACTGCCCACAGGAGTGGTCTTCATCTCTAGGCTGGGGACCATCTGAGGGCAGAGCCCGTATCTGGTTCACTATTGTCTCCAAAGGGCCTGGCCCACACTTAGAGAATATTTATGAATTGCAGTCAACTGAACAGAGAACAGAGAAGGCAATGGCAACCCACTCCAGTGCTCTTGCCTGGAAAATCCTATGGACGGAGGAGCCTGGTAGGCTGCAGTCCATGGGGTCGCTAGGAGTCGGACACGACTGAGCGACTTCACTTTCACTTTTCACTTTCTTGCATTGGAGAAGGAAATGGCAACCCACTCCAGTGTTCTTGCCTGGAGAACCCCAGCGACGGCAGAGCCTGGTGGGCTGCTGTCTATGGGGTCACACAAGAGTCGGACACGACTGAAGTGACTTAGCAGCAGCAGCAGCAGAACAGAGAACAGGAAAGGGAATAAGGGGCCAGTCACTGAGTTGGGCCTTATCTGTATAATCTCATTCCACCTTCACAACAATGTCGCAAGGGAGGTGCTATTATTATTTCAAATGTTTTACAAGTGAGAAAATAAGCCTGAAGAACTGGGTGACCTGCTCAAGTTCATAGAGCTCCAAGGCTGCGAAGCCAAGATTCCAGGGCGGGTCTCTCCATTCCAAAACCCATGTTTTAACCCATGAAAGCTGCCAAAAAGGAAGAATTTCAGAAGTTCCAGTTTTGATATTGTGGTCAATGGCATCAAACACTGCAATAGCGGATGGGGATGAAGTGAGGTGGCAAGAGGCCAGGAAAACACGGGCTTTGGAGGAGAAGCCTCAGCCCCATGTGAGCAGGGAGGGCTGCTCACAGAAAAGAGGGATGGACCCAGAGTGCCCCAAAGGGTAGGCTGTGCCTGAGCCTTTTCTGGAGACGTGGGCTCCCAGGCCCTGAGCTCTCCAGGCCCCTTCTCTGCCCCTCCTCCTCTCCCCCACCCTGCTCGTGGGTATGGTTAATGTCCAGCAGTCTCAGTCCAGCCTTCCCCCAGCTACCAGGCCCCATGCCCTTGTCCTGGCCTGGGGCCTGGCAAACAGCCCAGGACACATGCTTCCAAGCACCTCCCCCACCACATCCCAAGAACACAGAGCTGGGAGGCCCAGGCCCCAGCTGCCTGCCCCTGGGAAGATGAAGGGACTGGGACATCCCTGTGGCCCCACGGGGTTTTGTCAACCCTTTGCCCCGTGAACAAAGTAATAACGTCCAGATTAGAGCACGGCCAGGCAAGAGGCCTGGAGAGGCTTTGGGAAGGGATGGACTTTCTGTGGTCCCCTGGGTTACTCCTTTGAGGACTCTCACATTCCTCTCCTCCACTGGCAGCCAGAGGAGAAGGGTGAACGTTTGTCAAGCAGGCACCTCTGTGCTCTGTACCAGGGCTTTCCTCGTGGACCCTGTGATGTGACTTCTTTCAGAACCTCCATCAGAGAGAAGGAAAGAGTCTGGGAGAGGTTAAGTAAGGCAGCTGAGTCTACAAATGCAGGGCAGGGTTTGCACCTAAGTCTGTTGGATTAATACCAACGTCTCTGCTCTCTCTCCAGTCTCCCAGCAATGCACCTCTCCCCCAGCAAGAGAGCAATGAACCCTGGTGGCATTTTCTACAATGAAACACTATACAGCAGTCAAAAGGAACAAACTACAGCTACAACAAGGATGGTGCCCCCGAATACAGTGTTGAGCAGAAGAGGCCAGACGTCCAAGAGCAGACACTGTGTGGTCTTGTTTAGATCAAGTGCAGGCAGGACTCAGCCAGGGGTGGGAGGTGTCAGGTAGTGAGGATCCTGGGACTAGAGGGAGGGTATCGGGGTCTGGAGAGGCAGGAGGGAGCTTCTGATGCTGGTTACATTAATGTGTCCGCTCATGATGATTCCATCATGATGATTCCATCATGAGTGGCTGGACTTTCTTTTCTGTATACCTGTTACAGTTCAATTGCTCAGTACAACTCTTTGCGACCCCATGGACTGCAGCACGCCAGGCTTCCCTGTCCATCACCAACTCCCAGAGCTTGCTCAAACTCACGTCCATGGAGTTGGTGATGCCATCCAACCATCTCCTCCTCTGTCATCCCCTTCTCCTCCTTTCTTCAAATCTTTCCCAGCATCACGGTCTTTTACAGTGAGTCAGTTCTTCACATTAGGCAGCCAAAGTATTGGAGTTTCAGTTTCGGCATCAGTTCTTCCAATGAATATTCAGGACTGATTTTCTTTAGGATTGACTGCTTTGATCTTGCAGTCCAAGGGACTCTCAAGAGTGTTCTCCAGCCCCACAGTTCGAAAGCGTCAATTCCTTGGCGCTCAGCTTTCCTTATGGTCCCACTCTTACATCCATAC